GATTGTAATGTCTTCCTTATATTTTAAGCGCTGTGCAAACTTTTAGTGCTATATAAATCCTGTATAAGGCAAGGGCTGTCTTTTCTTGGCTAGCTCATCCCTTGGCTGGCTCATCACTTCCTCCCTTCTCCTCTTCTGTAATGCCAGTTCTAGGTTTAGAAGTGCCCAATGTCTTTCTTCTATTGACTGTAGTACACATCTCTCTCAAAGAGCACAACCTGTATATGCACTTGTATATGCTATATATGCACTTTTGACTTAATTTATTGCAAGGTAGGAATGGGCTGGGTGAGGGTGAAATTTTATGAGCCTGGGCCAGTACTACTACGATATGTTGGGCTAGTAGCCCTAGACGGAGATCATGAACCTTTCTGACATTAATCAAAGCTGGACTCCCAGTCAGTGACACATGGTGGGCATTATATAGGTTTTTCCCCTTGTTCAGACCTGTGATCAGCGCAGTCTTCTAGCACTAACTTGCTTTTGCAGCTCTGAGATGTCATGTGACAAATGTGGCGCCACAAAGGAAGTTGATGCTGGAAAATGTGAAAATGTGTGCAGTTATAAATATGAATACTCACAATTTACCATGTCCACTATTCACTGTAGCATCATATACTTTCATCCGGCGACAAAAATATGTCCCTACCATGATTTGGCTGCTTGGTTGTGTTTGTGCACAGCCGAGGAGCACAGGAAATTCCTCTGCTCCACTGCTCTATCTAGTGGCCATAATAGGGTGTGGAAGTCAAAGGTTGATTTTCACAGACTGAATGGCTCTCCAAACGTTTTACAACACATAAGTGTGTGTAGAGACAGGGCTCTTGGAAGATGTTGTTTCTGGGGGGCATGAATAGGAACTGTCCCAGGGCACCCTGCTGAATTTTCCTAAAAACATTTGTCCCTGCAAGCATTTTATAAGCCTGTTAAAGATCTCACAGGGCGTGCTAAAACCTGTTTCTAGCAACAGGAATAAGGTAAAAAAATTAATGGTGGTACATGTTTGAGAGGTGGAGAACGAGGTTTGGGGGTACATTCAAGTCATGCCTTTAGTAATATTGGGATGATTTATAAGCTGGAAAATATCCACTAAATCATTAAGGGTGGTAATGAAATTGGAAAAATATTCAACATGTCACATATAGACAAGAAATCAGTATCAGTAATTTTGCATTGGTTATCTTTGCAACAAATAACTCATTAATATGAGGTCATGTGCAGCTCAGCTTTGTTTCAGTTTTAATATAAATTAGGTGTAGAAGAATAAATTGGTAGGTAAGTACAGGAGCCAGTAAAGTATAGTATACATAGTCTTTATTTGCACTAATAAAATACAAAAACAATATTGTTTGATTAACTGCATCTATTTCATAAATATATATATATAATCTTTCAATTTTACTGGTCCATAAAAAAGTGAAATACAGATTATCTTATCACAATATAAAATATTCTGTACCCAGAATATACATATTAGTAGTAACATTTATGTGTATATAATAATATCAAAGGCAGAACATACACAAGTTTGAAAAAAATATTCAACATAGAAAACTAGTGGGCAATAACTCACGGAACATAAAAAAAAGAAAGTATATTACTTTTGAAATACAGCAGTAGAATGTTATTTCAAAAATAGAGACAGCTAAGGAAAAACATAAAAGAAAATATGGATATTAAAATGACAAATATAACAATATTTCCTGGTCTCTAATTCCTTAGAGAGAAGTTGTCCGGAGCCAATGTTTCATATATAAAACTAAGGGCACGAGCGCCAGTCGAGTATCTACAACACATTGTGCCCCTGGCGTCCCACCAAGCTCCTGGCTCCCTGTAACGCCACTGGTGGGCAGGAGCTGGATGGGATGCCGGCCAGAGCGTCCCAGGTTGCTAAGAGCAGGGCCGGGGAGATGTGTAAGAGCCATATACAGCTTTCTGTCTGGCTCTTAGCAACCTGGAATGCTCTGGCCAGCATCCCACCAGCATACACATCTCCCCTCCTGCTCTGGTTGCTAAGAACCAAGCAGGCAGATGTGTATGGCCCTTACACATCTCCCTGCGAGACCCCTAGCAACCTGGGAATTTCTGGCTGGCGCCCCTGGCTGCTAAGAGCCGGGCGGGGAAATGTGTATGGTAGAGGGTTGGGGAAATAAAAAAGTCAGCTTCATGGGTTGGCATACTTTTGCTGACCTACGGAGTAGTACCCGCGCCCCCCCTTCAAGTGGCACCCAGGGCATATGCCATATGTGTCATAGCCTGGATACGCCACTTATTAGCGCCCCTAGATGGTGCTGACAATTATAGGAAATTCCAATCTGTCAGCACCATCTAGGGGCACTAGTGCCGTGCAAATGGCAGTTTTATAAATGAAGCCCTATGCCTAACAAATTTGGGAACCTTGGATCAGCCATTTCCTACCAAATAATTTTGGCCATTGGCTGCTGGATCTTCAGGGGCCCACAGCCCTCAACATGCGATCCCCTCCTTTTCCCATTTGGTCGACCTCTTTCGAGAGTTGCTACACAGGTTAGTGTTGCCCCATGGGCCCAAGCTGCTATAATGTATATTGTACACCTATGTATTAGCTGAATTGCTCTTATATGTATACTGTACACCTATATACTACATGACCTGCATTTTTTATGCTTTGTGGATGGGTATTGCTTAATGCTGTGACACTCCTATGATGACTGCTAATTTTGAAAATTGTTATCTCTTTTCAATAAATATTTTGAACTGGAAAAAGAATTTGTTTTTGGAACGTGCATTGTATTTTCTAATAGTTAATGGGGTCTAAAACAACTATTTTTTTTTTTTTACCAAAGGCATAAAAAAAGTTAAAGGAGCAGGATGAAAAATGTTTCTCGAAGGTACAGAATTCTAACAGTAATGGTGTTTTTCGAGAATCTCCTTTCATTCTTAAATCAAATGTTAAACCCAAACAAAATTTCAGACAAGTCTCAAGTCTCTGATGGCTTTATCGAATGTTCTGATGAGATTTTTCGTGTGAACGTTCATAAGAAGGATTACCAGCTTAATGGTACCAAGTGTGTGACATCAGAGTAAAATATTGGCATACTACTGTGATCACTCTTCAGTGTAGAGGAAACTGCTGTCAGCAGCTCCATTTTGTATTATGTATTCATGCAGATTACAACTGCTATATTATGCTCCTGACATGTCCCCTCCAAGGAGAATATGTACAGTACCTTTAAAGTTATACTCTAGGTTGATATAAAAAAAAATCTAATAATCCAGTTATGGATGCATAAAAATCATTAGCACTAACAAGAATGCCTAAAAGTTTCATATCAGCCTCAGACTGGACGAGAGAAGGCCTTCACTGTCAGCTCCGCAGACCCAACTACATTACACAGTGCTTCCTGAGAGGAGGAGACAGCAGAGGATGGAGGCTGATTCACTAAAGAATTTGAGAATGCTTACACATTTTTTTCAAAAATCACTTCATTCATCCATTCATGTGAAAAGAAAATCTGGGTTTACTTATTTTATCTGCACATAATTGGATAATTGAAGTGAATCTTCGGAACAATTTCAAATCCATTAGTAAATCAGCGTCATGATCTTATCAGTGTGCTCCTTCATTTTTCAGTCTCAGGCTGTGGCAGGTTCTAGATCAGAATGTACTGCTTAAATGCAGAATAGTCTGTGGATATTTCTCAGGGTGTACAGCAACTGGCTGTGCTGACTGACCGGAGGAAGCTGGATCACAAGACTGGTTGGACAGGATTTCATTTTTCTTCAGGAGGTTTGGAGTTTAGATTTACAAAGTAATGAATAGACAGCATGCTCTCCTTAGCAGAGGTCGGGCTTTAGGGTTGGGTGTTTGAAAACCTTGCTCTGCTGTATTTCAACCGGTGGACTTCACTGAGCATGGACTTTGTGTGTTGTCAGAGCAAGAAAATTGCAAATATTCAATTATATCACCAAGCAGCATGTTGTTGGCTTTCAATGACCTTCTACGTAACTTTATGTAAAACCATATATTGCTGCTAATTTTAGAGTGGGGCTAAGGGCTAACATAGAGTTAAGTTGGGTGGACAGAGAAGGTAACAAGCTCAGTAAGGGCTGACATAGAGTTAGGTTGGGTGGACAGAGAAGGTAACAAGCTCAGTAAGGGCTGACATAGAGTTAAGTTGGGTGGGCAGAGAAGGTAACAAGCTCAGTAAGGGCTGACATAGAGTTAAGTTGGGTGGGCAGAGAAGGTAACAAGTAAGGGCTGACATAGAGTTAAGTTGGGTGGGCAGAGAAGGTAACAAGCTCAGTAAGTGCTGAAATAGAGTTAATTTGAGTGGGCAGAGAAGGTAACATGCTCATTTAATAAGGTGGTGCACATAAGAAAGCAACAAATCGGACGTCTGCTGACTGTAATTGGTTGCTACATGTTACTGCATCTTATTCTTATACAATAGGCATATTTTATTTTAAAGATGGTCCTGGTAAAGAAGACAGTGAAATCCTCTGCTAGTGTGGCAGGTAACAGCTGTGAAATACAAATTCTGTAAAATATGGTGGTTTTCTCATATAGGAGAACTCCGGGCAAAAGTGTCCTTAACCCTTGCAGTGGGGCTACTCCCACACTGCAAGGGTTAAGGGCTTGGATTTGTCTAGGTGGAAAAAAAAAGTTATACTGGAACCGCTAGCCAGCTAGCTGCTACTCCAGTCCCTGAAGCCTGTCTCCTCCTCCACTGCAGCGATGGCATATCCCTCGACATCCTTACTTCCTATACACTGTGTATAGAACGTGATGACTCAAGGATCCTTAGACCACTGCGGCGGATAGGGAGAAAGGCTCCAGAGCAAGATGGCTCCATGGTTCGGGTGAGTATATCTTTGATATTTTTGCACCTAGACAAAAACGAGCACTTAGCCCTTGAATTGCTGGGGTAGCCCCACTGCAAGGGTTAAGAATAGTCATGCCTGGAGGTCTTCTTTAGCTAGTGAAGAGTAGAAGAACACACACAGGTTCTCAAAGATAGCTGTGAGTTATCATAGACGACAGATCTTTAACAGTTCATGATTTAATTTAAAAAAAAGTAAGAATCCCTCAGTATTAACAAGTCCCTTCTGGTCGTGGATGATGTGGAAATGGATTTGCGCACACCAGTCTCTTCCTTTTATCCTCAAAGCTTCTTCTGTGATAGTTTGATAGTGACTGTTTTAACTTCTGTGTATTCTGCCAATGCATATTCACCACTGCAGAGAGAACTGACGTTACTGACAGAGCTGTATATCAGAATTCGAGATGTAGTCAAAGCTTGCCTGGCATATCTTCTTTTATTTCACACAGTACAAAATGCAGTCATATACAGTAACTCAGGGTCAATCAGTACTCATCCTTATATAATTTGGGATGAAAATTACTTCTCCCTGATAGTGATAGTTAAGGCCCATGGTTTGAACTTTCAGTTTAAATCAGCTAAATTCAATCCAGGTGCAAAACAAAAGGTGTGCAAAGTCTAAAGGTGGCCATACACTGTACAACCATTGCAAGACCTTAGTCTTGCGATGGTTGTAAATTAATTAAAAAAACGTACGATCTGCCCATCTTGGACAGGCAGATCGTACTTGCGATCATCGGAAGCTCGCCCCCCTGAGGGGCGGGCTTCCGATGACCGCAATGCTGAACGGGCAGTGTGCACACCGGCCCGTGCGGCATTGATCTTACGATCATGCTAAAAACCAGCAGAAAATCGTACGATTCTCGGCTGGTTTTCTAGTATGCTCCTTAGACAAAAGACATGCGACCGTACAGTAAATACGGTCGCACATCTTCCATACAGTGTATGGTCACCTTTACAGCTCGTTTTCCTTAAAAAGCAGCCACAGCCTAAAGGTGCACACACACCTTGCGATAATCGTACGATAATTGCGGGAAATCCTGCGATCGTACGATTATCGCAAGGTGTGTGGAAGGCGTGCGACCGTTTCTACTGTACGGTCGCACGACTTTTGTCTTTCGAGCATGTTCGAAAACCAGCCGAGAATCCTACGATTTTCGGCTGGTTTGTAGCATGATCGTGAGATTACTGCCGCACGGGCCGTATCCAATCAAATTGTTCAGGTATTGTGAGAGCCAGCGGGGCCGACTAGCAAGATACTGAAGCTTTGCCCAGTGGGAAATTCCTCCATCCACACAGTTTAGCATAGATGGAGGAAACTGTTGCACTTTTTCCATCTGAACATGCAGATAATCTATAGCTATATGGCCATTTTACAGTAAGTATAAAAGCCCCTGCCAGCATCCTGCAGAGGAAGACCCTTGTTCTTTGTGTGAAAGCAGTGCTCTCTCTGCAGAACATTACAGAAATTAGAAACTAAAAACAGATGAAAAAGTTTATGATAATTTGTAATTCTTGGTAATCAGGTTATATAAAAAATGTTCTCTGCATGAAAGCAGTGGTCTCTCTGCATCATGCCCCCTGCAGAGCTAGAATTCTCCAATCAGCAAGGACAGGGAGCATAAGCTTTGCTGATTGCAGAGCCACAACTCTAAAGCTGCCCATACACCTGACGATTATCGCGGTCGTATGATAATCGTAAGGTGTATGGGCAGCGTGCAACCGCATTTACTGTATGGTCCCACGAATTTCATCTTACGAGCACGCTAGAGAACCCAACGAAAATCGTATGATTTTCGGCGAGTTGGTAGCGCGATCGCAAGACGAAAGCCGCACAGCCCGAGGTGCGCAAGATGCTCAGCAGGGAGGACTTGCGACGATCGCAAGTACGATCTGCCGGTCCAAGATGGGCTCCTGAACTCCTGAACAGGATATTTAAAGAGGCATTGGGAATATTCAAACTACACACAGTCAGATAAGATGAATGAAAAACTTAATACAAGCCCAATAACTCAGCAAGGCTTCCCTTAGTGGAGGGATGGACAAACTCCTGCCCTCCTGCTGTGGTGAAACTATAAATCCCATGAGACATTGCAAGATTCTCACAGACACAGGCATGACTCCTGGAGTCAGGTACATGATGGAATTTGTAGTTTCACCGCAGCTGAGGGGTTGGAGTTTGCCCACACCTGCCTTAGTCGGTATCAGACAGTATCTCAATCTATAAAATTACAGAAATTAGTGTTGCTGGTAATTAGGTCATATAAAAACTGCCAATACATTTCAGCTGCAAAACCACCTCCCCTTTATCAGGGCTCAGAACATGATAACCTTAAATGGCAACTGTTACTTAATGAGGAGAATTTAATATTGGTTCTAATATAGATCAGGGTGTTGACAGATTTCTCTGAGTCCATCCATGTTTCTCCTGCGGTAAATACTGATGGAGGGGAAGTGGCTTTGTTCCAAAACACATTTTTATGACTGGAGCTGCTTTAAGTTGCTTTTGCATTCACTTTGACTTGTATGGGGAAAAAAAAGCAGCTCAGACACAAATATACCTGCAAACATCAGGTGTATTCTGTAAATCAATGCAATAATAAGTTAGTGTCATTATAAGTTCCAATAAAGAAATAAAAAACAAATTGCAGATGGAATTGTTTTCCTGTATTTTTATATGAACCCAGTAGACTTTATTAACATCCTACATGATATACTCACAGTTCTCTGCCATTTCCTGACATTTTGAAGCCTCCGAATGGGGTCTGTGCATGAAGAGCATTGTAACAGTTTATCCTACAAAGGAAACAAAGTGATTAGTAGGGAGACATTTATCAGAAATAACTGATATACTGGCTACACTTTTCCTTCCTATGCTGGCCTACAGAACGCAAACTGACCTAAAATGTAAATTAAATGTTGTGTTTAACTAACAAACTATAAATATAAATAATATAAAGTACCTCAAGAAGCACACATACATTTATAATATAAATATAAAGAGAAAGGGAAAGATTTTCATAAATGCTTACATCTATTTTTCTAACATAGCAGTAATATTTTTCAGTGTTCAGAATCCACATAATTCTGTAGAGGACTTCAAAATAACATACATTTCCATGTTTTCAAGTAAAAACGTCGACTGATGTGAAAGTGACACTAAACTCAGGAGTTAAATCCTAAAAATGCATTCAAGTAACTTAACTATTAACAAAAATGTGTCTTATGTGTGTATCACTCGGCTGTAGATCCTCAAATCATCTCTGAATTGTCACTGTCCTTCCTTCTGGAGGGGGGCTACTTTTAAATGGTTTTTTTTTTACAATCTCACGTTTAGTTTACCAATTTGTATTGAGATTGTTGTTCATCCCAGGAGAGAGCTTGGAGCTGTGATTACTTTACAACACTCACTGGGACCGTGGGGAACAAAAGTTGTCACCCCCCAGAAGGAAGGACAGTGTCAGCACCGATTCAGAGATGATTTGAGGATCTACAGCTAAGTGTTATATAAATAAGATACATTTTAGTTAATGGTTAACGTACTTGAATGCATTTTTAAGGTTTAACTCCTGAGTTTAGTGTCACTTTAATGGTTGTAGTAGGGGGTGGTGACAATAATTTCCTGTATTGTGCTAACATGGGTCTGAACCACAGAATCTGATGTTCTACCTGGCTGATAAGTCTACCTTTAGACATAAGATGGTGCTTCTAAGAAATGTAGTTTCAATTTCAACTCAACTGTTCAATAATTAAGAAAAAGATTGTTTGTGCAACAGATATTTCCTAAGTTGGCAATAAACTGTTCACATTTTGGTGGTCCTGTTGGCACCTATAAACTTGGCAAACTTAACTTGAAATATTGACTGAGCCTGGTGAAAAAATATTAGCCTACTAGTGACTACTTCCAGGCTGATGCAGTCACTGTTCAGGTATTCAGACAGCCATGGGCACCAGCTGTTAGAATAAAATAGCTGGTAGGGGAGATTCCTCCGTCCATGCTTTTAGCACTGAAGGGAAAACTCAGGGGTCTATTCACTAAGCCGAGTGACTAACCGCCCCAAAGAGAAGTGAGCCGAACGCTGTTCGGCTATTCACTTCAGGCTTGGTACGGCTGATTCTAGCTGTATATCGGCTGAAATCAGCCATACATTGGGTGGCTTCGGCTGGCTTCGGGTCGGCCGAACATCCTCGGCATGTTCGGCTGACCCGAAGTGCAGAAGGAGTGCGACTCCGCCGATTCGACATCTTGATTGGCTAAGCCGAACCTCCGGCAGGCTTATTCGCTGCTGTTCGGTCTATTCTTATAGATGCCGAACAGCAGTGAGTGAATAGCCGAATGCGGCATTCAGCTTGGCTATTTTGCTCGGTACCTCTGCAGTACCGAGCAGAATAGAAAAACAGTTTAAAAAGTAGAAAAAATAAAATAGAAAACGATTGGGCGGAGCTAGCAGTGAAAGCTAACTACGCCCAACTGTTCTATATTGGCCGGGTGGTTCTGCTGCCGTAAAAAAAAACAAAAAACAACAACAACAACATAGGAATGCATAGCTACATTCCTATTGGCTATTTCAATTTGCAATAGCCAATAGCAAACTAGCTATTGCACCCGCCCTCTGCTGCTGTCAATCACTAGAGGGGACCTGAAAAAAGCACTTCAGGTCCACTCTGCTGATTGACAGCAGCAGTGGGCGGGTGCAATAGCTAGTTTGCTATTGGCAATTGCAAATTGAAATAGCCAATAGGAATGTAGCTATGCTTCCTATGGTGTTGTTTTTTTTAGTTTTTTTTATTCTGATGGCAGCCAACGGCTCCGATGTTAGATGAAAAAAAAAAAAAAAAACAACAGAGCAGGGAAAGGTTTACTCTGCTTGATCGAGCAGAGTAAAACTTTCCCGGAGAAAGTGTTTCTCTCCCGGGTGGCCGGGAGTAGCTATCTAATAGCGGGAGACTCCCGGAGCGTCCGGAAGAGTTGGGCTATCTGGAGATCAACGTCCCTGGTTACCTGCTCCGCCCAGCAGTCAGTAGTAGGCTGTCGGTCGGCCAATGAGCCGACTGAGCCGCTCGGCCAAATTCGGGAGCTGTACGGGTTATAGTGAATAGCCCATACAGCAGCCCTTCGGTTCTACTGAACCGAAGGGGTCCTGGGGCGGAAGCTAGCCGAAGGATCAGCCGAAGCTACGGCTAGATCTTTTGGCAGCTTAGTGAATAGACCCCTCAGTGATTTTTGCCATGGGTCCGAGTGAGAAAATTGAAAACATATATTGCTAGCTTTAGACAGACATCAGTGTTGACTGGAACACAGCAATTACAACCTGACAAGTGACAGAAATCTCAGCCCTTTCCCTGTCTACCAAAATAAGTGTTTTTTTAATTGCTGCCTGTGTCCCAGTGAAAATATTCTGCTCATCTCCTGTCCTAATGACAACACAAGAAGTGAGAGGTACTCTCGAAAGTGGGGACATAGACAGCAATTAAAGATATTCCCCCTCTATATAAAGCTAAAAAAATAAAACATTTTGGCTGGAGATTCACTTTAAAGGAAAATAAATAAAATGTATTGTCTGTAGAGATATAATAATCGAAATGATGAATCATAATACCCAGTGTATGTATGTGGAAAACAACAACAGGTCAGAATACATTATTATTCTTTACTGTGCAACTGCAATATTAAACAAATTAATTCTTAAAAACTGTAAAAATACCTGAACTGACATTAAGTCAAAAATAAATAAATACATTTAAATATCAGTACAAGAGTTGTGACATATTCTCTGATGTCATTGACACTGATACTTACCATACTGTTCCAGACTGCAGGGCAGAAGCGACATTCAATGCTTTATCCAAGCTCTCAGTGAAGACAGCAGCTGTCAGTCCATATTCTGTGTTGTTGGCTCTCTTGATCACGTCCTCTATGCTTTTAAATTTCAGAATGGACTGGACGGGTCCAAAGATCTGCAGCATATACATGTAAAGATTAGCACCCTGACTAAAACTAAACAAGGTTTTCCATCCCTGGGGGGTTTTGATCAGCCTTCCAGTTTGGGATAAAGCTGAAAACTACTTTTACAGTGTATTTTCCCTTTTTCAGGGACAACGCCTACTTGATAAATGTCACATGATAGATAAAATATTAAAAAATCCCTGCTTACATTTTACCAGCTGAAAATTTGTATTTCAGTCCCTCTTCTATGTAATGTTAAGGAGGGGACTGGGCAGTTATGTTTGCCATAATCAACCCTGTCTGTACTGTGCTGCTAGATCTCATTATCATTTGTACTCTAGATGTCTATTCTAACAAAGGGTTAACGATCTCAAGGCTTGAGTGGTACATTGTATGTTAATGCACTTTAAAAAAACAAAACTATTCCGCAGTCTGTACATTATCTGCACATTGCCATCTATTCTAAGCACTAGAAGCTGCCTGTAGTGTCTTATATATAAACCTGCTCCAAAGAAATAAATAGAAAGGTTAGAACTATACATTTTTATCAATTATTTTTAGATATGCTGTGTGATTGGGAACACTTAACAAACATACTGTATAATGGTTGTTTCTCAAATTTGACAGCAAAAGAGTGAACTACACTTTAAAGTGTAGCCAGACTATAGACATTCAAGAATTGATGAAACAACATATGCTGCAAAGGAAGTAGGTACAGCAGGCAGGAATTGCCATATGAAGATATACAGGGCTATTCACAAAAGGGTGAAGAGTTTGGAGAAGGCAGGAGAAGTGAACAATCTAGGGCAAGATAGCTGATTTGGACAAATTCTCCAATTCCGCTCACTTTCCAGTTCAGCTATTTTGGCCTAGCTTGTTCACTTCTCCTGCCTCCTCCAAACCCTTCACCCTTTTGTGAATAACCCTGATGATAGTTAGGGTATTTTGGAAGCTTCCCATACAGACTACAGAAAAACTGTGCTCAGAGTAATATATGGGATCCCATTTCTAATCTTGTTCCAGTTGCCTGAGTGTCATGCTGATCCACTGACATCAGTAACTCAATCACTGATCTGGAAAAAGTATACCGCCAGCAAAGTCATCAAACTCCTGATCTGTATACTTGTTCTAAGGTTCTTACCAAAAAAGTACCTGTCTGTAAGTAACTAGCATGTTCAAAAGACAAGCTCAACAATTGCAGCCTGCACAATTCTCTTAGCACAGATTTCCTTTAAAGTGAATGTACATAATTCTTTTTGCATGCTCTGACCCGATCACAACTGTGCAGCATGCTGGGATCCACTCAAACCTTTCTAGACAGTCTTGTACTTCACACTATTGGTTAATAACCTTCGAATAGCTATGGTAAGACCATCCACCTTTGGGATATTTAATAACCTACCTCTCCATACGAATGAATAGGATGCATGCATGCTTATAAGGAAAAAATGGACTGACCGGGAAAGCTTGTCACCATACAACACAGATCTAGCAGGAGTGTTGACAGGTGATTATGGGGGTAGGGGATGTAGGGTAAGCTGAAGAAAGTACAGCTTTCCTTATAATAAATGGATGCTGAAATTTGCAAAATTGTCTTAGCAGTTTAAGATTGTGTTGACATATTGCACGTGCAGCCTCCCAATGCAGGGTGTAAAAATGTTTGCTATAACACTGTGGGGTTCGGCTGTTCTGCTCGGTCCCTCAGAGGCACCGAGCAGAACAGAAAAACAGTGAAAAAAGTTAAAAAAGTAGATAGCAAACGATTGTGCGGAGCTAGCTGTGACAGCTAGCTCCGCCCAATAGTTTCCTATTGTCCGGCGGCTCTGCTGCTGTAAAAAAAAAACGAAAAAAAAAAAACTCTCCCTGGCGCTCTGGGAGCATCCGAGCCGATGCATATGCGTTCGGCTCGGCTGAGCCGCTCGGCCATGATCGAGAGCTGTACGGGCTATTGTGAATAGCCCGTACAGCAACTCTTCGGTTCTACTGAACCGAAGGGGTCCTGGGGCCGAAGCTAGTCGAAGGATCGGCCGAAGCTACGGCCAGATCCTTCGGCAGCTTTGTGAATAGACCCCTGTGACTTGCTAGATACAGCACCATGGCTATCAACATTTTAAGGGCCTAAGTCAAAAGGCTTTTGAGCACATAACACAGGCTTTGCATGCTCATACAAGTCTGCACAAAGCAGATCAAATGCACCTTTTAATGAATTCCAAATGATCTCAAAAGAGCCTCTAACTGATGCCATTAACACAAGCCCAAAACTGGTTGTAAAAGGGACTTTCTGGCTACCAGCAAGTACGTCTGCATGTGGCAAAGGTCTTTTGATAAATTTCATTAAAACAATAAGTGAGACCCTTTATGGTAAATAGTGTTCGTTAGACTAGATTACCTCTTCCTTGGCAATCCTCATATCATCAGTCACCTCAGAGAATACAGTGGGCTTAATGAATAATCCTCGCTCTCCAACGGCAGAACCACCACACTCCAGTTTGGCTCCTTCATTTTTCCCACTTTGTATGTATTCCATAACTTTATCAAATTGCTCCTGGTCAATCTAAAAGTAAGAAAAGTCACATCCACAATTAGAATCCCTTAGACAAGCAGAATAAATAATACAGTGTAAGCACTCCAACTCAAGATGGCCACACATAGTATGCCTACAAATCCAATAAAAAAAAAGGTTTGGGCGTAAGAGGCAGAAGGGTCGGTGTTCCCAGATCTAATACAGGCACATTGCAAGGCCACCAGATTACACAAAGAGAAGAGGTGGACTGGCACACTACACTTATACCCATATAAAAAAAAACTGAAGTACTCAGCAGGTACGTTTTGCTCCCTCTAGTGATCTCAAGGCTTCCATTTCAACTTTGATTGCAGTGACCCTATTTGTGCAAATTGGTTCTCTCAACAGTAGACATCAGAAACCGATCCGATTTCAGTATAATGCCTTTAGATCAACAAATAAGTAATTTCTGATGGGTATCTGCACTTTGCTCGTTATTATTTTACCTGCTTATGAACTCAAGTAACCTATTTTTGTATGTTCTATATATGTGACTCTGGCTATACCTGAGGACCATGTTCTGTTTTGAAATCAAATGGATCTCCATGAACCCGTCTCTTGGCATGGTCCACACTGCGTCTGACAAACTCTGGGTACACAGATTCCTCCACATAGACCCTTGAGGCTGCCGTGCAGCACTGGCCTTGATTGAAGAAAACACCTTGGTGGGCACATTCAGCAGCCAGCTCCACTGTAATACAGAGAAAATAGTGTTGGGACATTAGGAAAGCATCTTCTACCGTTAGTTAGATGGTCTAGTCAAAGAGAACATAGAAATTAATCAAAAAGCAATGCCTTACACTGAAGTTGTCCTAAGCAAGTAAGCAATTAAAGTACAACTGAAGCCAAGACTTTATTTTTTTAGTTTTGGAAAGAGTAGAGAAGGATTGGAACAGAGTTTTATTGCTGTCTGTGCCCCATTAGTGAGGTTCACCCTCTCTACTTGTCCTGGTGACCGCTATCACTGAAACTGAAAGTGGAAAAAAATCATAAATTTTAGGCTGTCAGAAGAATAGAAATAGATGGTAAATCTTCCAATGGGGACACTAGTTCGGGTGACCTTGGTGGCAAACAGGGATTTCTTCTCACTTCCTGTTGTGGCTAACAGACAAGAAGTTAAATCTCCCCACAAAGGGGACAAAGGGGGTTATACATCTCCCTTACTCATTTAAAACTAAAAAATAAAGGTTTACCTTTAGTTCTACTTTAAGAAGACTCATGCTGTAGAGAAAAGACTTGTGTAATAATCCTATATTTTATAGGTCTTAATGTAATATGGAATTAATTCATAGGCAGATATCATATTTTTACTTGTTAGATAGAATCAAATTGCCAACTGCTACATTTTGATTGTTTGCCCTTTACATCATGCAGTGTTTTAGGCAATGTAGAAAATATAAAAGCAAACATATGCATATTTCATGCTGTGTATGAACCTGCAGAGAAAATGCAGGCTGAGACCTGTGCTCACTACAGGAAGAGGCACTGAGCTGCAAAGGGAAGTTCTCCCCAAGCATGAGAAGACATGAGGATTTAAAAGGAAGAGCAGCAAAGAGAAGGGAAACAACCATGGACTACAGTAAGGCACACATTACAGTATTGTTTTATGTTAAAAAATCTGAGGGTTTAATGTCACTTTAATGGTACTCTTCACATTTCTTCATTTTCTTCTTATCGCTCATAACTATCTTGGCATGGATCTCATTATGCATTTTGTGTACAATTTTACAAGCATTTAGCTGCACCACCAATGTATGTGTGAAAGAGGTCATAGGGATGTGTATTTCACTTCTTAGAAAGTGGAATGTGCTTATTTTACTTTCACTACAGTTACGCAAGATGGACACTGGATATATAAAGTCCAATGCTCGCTCAAGGGCACAACTAGATAGGATGGGCCATACAGCTGGAACTTTGACCGGATTAAATCCAAGCCAAGAGCCATGCCATAAAACAATAAACCTGCAGCACACTATTTACCTCTGAAATAATGTGCCGCAGATGGCTGAGCTACCTATGTGTTATTGTTTCCTTACTGTGCTGTGGGAAAACGGGTCACCCTTAAAGCAAAAGAGACCTGACCATTTTCTGAAGGTTCTTATTGCCTGGCAGTCATGCTTGATGCTCAAACTGTAATGACCTGGAACATCTATGCAGCCAGTGTAGTCAGAATTCCTCATGTGCATACTAATACCCAATCAGTGATCTATTGAAGCAACAAGATCATCATGACAGCCAGACTTTTGGTTTCTTCATATTTCTGTTACAATAATATTTATTGAGATAAGAGACAGCAAGCATATTATATAGAAGCAATATAGATGAGATACATTCTCTCAACACAAATTTCCTTTAGGCTTGTAGGATGCACTAGGATTTTTCCCCTAACCACCAGACACAATATGTTTAGGCCTCTTAAGGGCTAGCATGGCAATCAACAAGAGGGCAGTCATACGTCTTGTGATTAAAGAGGGAAATGTTTGTGTTGGGGCAAGCCATGTATAGATATCTATCAAAAGGTTTAATTTCACTGCTGAAAGTCTTATTCTGCACTTAAACCTTCATCTTATCTCTTACCTATCTTTAATTAAGAGATTAAAATTAATAATCTCTTAATCATCTTTTAATTGCTATTTTACATAGTCAGTATAAAGGACAAGTAATGGTGGAAAACAACCGCTCAGGGTTTTTACCAACCATTTTTGCAATATAAATTGTTAATAGTGTGTGGACATGACAGGGGTGTATCCATTGCCTAAATACATTGAGCTGAAAAGTGTCCCTGTTTCTAATTTTAGAGAGTTGGGATGTATGCAGTTGCTTGGGCTGCTATTGTTTACACCCTTGAGTCACAATAGAACCTAAGAACCCTTTTTCTTACAGTAAAGTCCCTTAAAACTAAAGCTTGAACTAACTCAAACCCCAAAGCACAATATTGTTTCAGTTTCATTTTTTTGTGTACATTATATCCCTCCTATCAAACTTTATCAAAGTGTGTGTGTTGTTGTTTTATAGTTTGTTTAATTAGTGGAAAATAGGCTGCAAAGGTCACAAGATGATGTAATTTCCATTCAGATTCAATGGCAATGGCAGAGTCTCTGCCTACATAGTAACAATCCTGTGTGCCCTCTGCCATTTGCTGAATTTTAACACATTGGGGTTGAATTGCTAAAGGTAGATAGACTGTTTACTTTGCAAGGGAACTTTTGCCTTGCAAAGAATACCCAATCATGTGCAATGAAAATATAAAAAAACATTTTTTTTTGCTTCCGTATGTTTGGGTGATAAACCATTTAACTTTTGAAGTGTAATGGTAAATACAGTGTAATAATAGACCAAACTAAATCAACTCGAATCACAATAAATTTGTGATACAGGTGTTTGAAGCATTAAGTCATTACTCGGTGGTTCCAATATTAAAAATATTAAAACAACATACTTTTTTAATATTGGAACCACCGAGTAATTAATTACACTGTATTTACCATTACACTTCAAAAGTTAAATGGTTTAGATATTAATTCCATTTAATCCTATTTAATTATTTTCATTTAATTCACGGTTTATTATTCACGGATTTATGTTAATTATGAGGATTTGTTTATATTCTCATTCATATTAATAGTGTTTATTTAGTTTTAATAATATAAATTCACCTTTAGAGCTGTGTTTACACCTTTAAACAAAGTGAACAGCCTATTTGCCTTTCGCAAGTCAACCCTAACGTGTTAAAATACAGCAAATGGCAAAGCACACCCAGGATTGTTATTATGAAGGCAGAGACTCTGCCATTATAGGCTGTATTAAAATCTAAAAGTTTAGTTTTCAGATTTTCTTTTATCAGACATAACATCCAAGCGGTTGAAACCTTAATTTCATGACCTAACCGGCTTTTAGGGAAAAACAGCTGCTGGAATCTGACTTTTTGCTATGGGCAAGTCAGATAGTGTTGACACCTGAATTTCAACATGCACAGTAGAAAGAAAGTACTTTCTTTTTCATGTTAGTCAAGTAACAATTGTATACAATGTAACTCACGGTCGGCATCTGCAAAAACAATACATGGATTTTTCCCGCCAAGCTCCAGGGTGACACGCTTCAAATTGCTGGCAGAAGCTGCTTCTTTGATCAGTTTGCCAACCTGCATGCAGATATATTACATATGAAATGAACGACAATACCTGCACAATATATACAAAGTTATAATATTCTAGCCCCAAGGGCACCATTTCTATTGTGTCTAATGGCGGAGTAGATTAGATCTAAGGGACCATTCACGCCATAGCGTTGCTTTAACAGCATGGTTCCATGAGATTAACACATGATACCGAACAATGCACCTACTGTGCGTTACAGTGCGAGAGGTGTGTTGCATCACCATTCATTTGAATGGCACCCCAAACACGCCTGACCGCCCCATAACACGCGGTACGCAATATTGTGCAGTGTGGCTGGAGCGCAGAGGTTGCGTACCCCCACCATTAACAGTAAGTATATTTTTACATAATCCATTATTGTTTTTCTGAATTAGAATTTTGATTAGAGCATCTGCACACCATGGTACAAGTTTCTGCAAGTAATGTATTGACCTGGCTAATCATGCTTCTGATCTTCTTGTCTACTCTGTAATTCTATATATGAAGGATTTACAAATTCGCCCAGTGAATCCGTTACTGACATGCACCCAGTGACATTCAACAGCATTTGCCCAGACATTCACACAGTCACACTCACCCAATTTACAAAAGCATAAATTCAGCAGCTCATGAACAGCGTCAAATCTCATTTGTACATTAGATATGAAGAGCATTTATCCTGCAGGGGAATCGGCCAGCAATAGCTCTCCGTGGTGCTGAAACTGCCTTTATACAAACTTTGTTCCAGCAATGGGGTAGTTCCAGGGCTGGATTAACCATTGGGCACCAATGGAAGAGGACACCATAGCTTTTTCCCTGTGTATAATATCCTCCTAAAGGATAAGTGCATTTTAAAGCTAGGTGCAGCTTTTCCTCTTTGCCCTGAGCTAACCAATCCCACCTTTCCCCTCTACAGGTGTATACTTAAGTTGGCCATACACCTGCCGGCTGACCAAAAAACTCCATTCCATTCCAAAATACATTCCTTTATCCATGTTGTTTTCCTGCTGCACCTACTGTATTTTGAAAGCCAGCACCCAAGCAGGCACATTATAACCCAAAGACTTCTATAGGTTTCATCACCCCATGGATTTCTTATTTCCTAACAGTCATTTATCACGCAAGTGACTTCTTTCATCATTTCTTTAATAAAAGGCCTTAGTCTTTTGCTTGATTTTGATCTATGTCCAATCTGTTATATAAATCAAATTACATTTTCAAAATATTTTCAAACTTTTATTTTAGGGCTGGTAATGATTACATTTTTTTTTAATCGATTAATCGACTCATTTCGATTAATTATAACGCACATACAGAGGGGGGTCTCACCAGAGCTTTGAGGGGGCCTCACCAGGGTAGCAGGGCTCTGTGGGGTCTAAACAGCCTTGTTAGACCTGTTGCTTTACCCTGCATGGCCTGCTGAAGTATGCCACATGGACAGTATTGTTGGTTTTGATAACCCATTAAAAATAATTATACGAGAGGCAGAAACAGAAATGCTGGCTTTAAAAGCCTCAGCAAAAATATCACACCGCATACAAGTGATAAAGCCCGAGGATGCCAGATACAATCAAGGCTTAACTTCAAAGGGGCATTATGAACCGCATCCATCGTAAGATGACAATAGAAGCTATTAATTATGCTCTCACCAGGCGACGGAGGACGTAAACAGGTATAAACAACCTTCATAGCATTGCAGCTCCACTGTTATTTGCTGGCTTATTTTGCTCCCTCAGCTGTGTCTGACCTGAAAGGGACACAATAGGGTTGGCAGGTCCAGGCCTGCCCGATAAAAGCATACGTGAGAGGGGCTTGACGCTGGCTGAGGAGACCTGCGTCACCGCACACAGCCCAAGTGATTCCGTCAGGTAACGAAGGGAAGGGGGAGGAGTCTATGTCAGTGACGTCACCGGACTCCTCCCTCCTTCCCTTCGTTACCCATCACGGACAACTACATCACCCGACTCCTCTCCCCTTCCCTTCGTTAGCCGACAGAGCCACTCGGGGAAGGGGGGAGGAGTCCGGTGACGTCGATGTCCGTGACGTCGCCGGATCTCCGACGGAAGACCCGGAAGCCGGCGGAGAGGTGAGTACGGATCAAAAGAACTTTGATCGATCAAAATAATTTTGATCGATCAAAAAAATTAACGATTAATCGACGGATTAATCGTTAATTTCCGCACCCCTATTTTATTTCACTTTCAGCACTTACTGAGTCTTAATGTCTTGACAGTTAAGCAATGGAAGGGCCGAGGGGGGCACCATCAATGGTCTGTGCTTATGATATCAGTTGCCCTTAATCCTGAGCTGAGTTGTTCCCATCAGTTAAGTGCCCAGGGAACGTTTGAGGAGCAGTTCCCTGTGACTTCATTGCTAATATTCGGTGTTAGTCCAAATATGATAAAGTATTAAAGTAAAGTATTTATCCATGAATTATAAGTCACAGCAAATACAATTATACTATAATATAAATACAGCGCTGTATATGAGTATTATTCCATGGACAAGAAGTGAAGATCTGCAACATTCACTAGAGGGCACTGCAGCATTCAAAGAATCCAACCACTTGAATATTTTTTCAGACAACTAGTAAAAACCAGGTTAATAGGGAAAAATGATGACTAAAGTTACTGTAAAAAAATATTAAACTGTACAGCGAATATGTTCACATAATAAATGACACCTATCACATTTCAACTGTATATTTTACTTACCTCTGTGGAGCCAGTGAAAGCAACTTTGTCTATGTTAGGGTGTTGAGAGATAGCAGCTCCAGCTGTTGGCCCATATCCTGGCACTATATTAACAACTCCTGGAGGGAACCCAGCCTACGAGAATAGAAAGAGTTGAAAAGTCTGCAAATATTTGTGTATGTAATATATATACATATATATATATTTGTTAAATTTATATTATATTATTAGTCCCACCTCTTTTATTAGTGATCCCATGTAGAGAGATGTGAGAGGAGTCTGTTCTGCAGGTTTTATCACCAATGTGTTTCCACAGCACAAAGCTGGAGCCATCTTCCAGATCAACATCAGCAGAGGAAAGTTCCACTAAAACACAATGAAGACCACAATAATGATCATAAAACACAATAAAGATCACATTAATGATCCTAAAACACAATGGAGAACACAGAAATGATCATAAAACACAATGAAGACCACAATAATAGTCATAAAACACAATAAAGACCACAATAATTATCATAAAACACAAAGAAGAACACAGTAATGATCCTAAAACACAAAGAAGACCACACAAATGATCCTAAAACACAAGGAAAACCACAATAATGATCATAAAACACAATAGAAACCAAATTAATAACCATAAAACACAATGGTCTCAATGCAGATTATTCCAAAGTTTTTCCTCACAGATTTATGGCTGGTTTCTGGCTGGCGTTACAAGTGAGTTCCTATGAAGTGTTTATAGAGAAGAGCAGGAAGGGGAGTTTTCAGGTGGTGATAAAATTATGATCCATGAAATAAAGCGCTTGTAGTCCTGAGAAATACAGGATTTCAATAACGGAAGATTGTATACTTACCTTCGGTAATCTTCCTTTCTTGCTGCATCTTCATGGCAGCACACCTGTTGTGTGCTGCCATGATGCGCCAGGAAAATAACATGTTTATTTTATGAACAATAACAATCCCATGCCAATGTGATATTTGTTTTCATGAATTGAATATTGTGTTGCAACAACTATTAGACAAAATAAAGAACAGTTAAAAACATATACCGCTTTGTGAACGGACGCCATTGTCCCTGCTTTATGCAGTTACATACTGTGCAGCATACAAGGCCACTTCTAACGTTTAGTACTCTAAGTTGTGTGTTTTAAGAAACAATTCTTTGTGCGTGCCTTTACTGAATGCAAACTTAGATGCTGCTTTAAGGCAACCATGTTCAATAACATAGCAAGCAAATGTATGGATGCCAATTGTCCCGGATTTGCTGGGACAGTCCAACTCTGTCCCGATGATGTTGTGCCCCGAGATTACAGCACCATTCAAAAAGTGTGGTTGGTTAGTGCGGTAAAAGTGTCCTGGGGAATGGGATGAATATGTTGGCAGGTATGCAAATGGAAAAAATGTATCTGATTGAAACTGAATATTGAAAAAAGGTGACAAGTTTGGAGTTTATTTGATACCCTTTACTCGATAACTTATTATAGATTCAGTTTTTGAAAAACACATTGAGCTCCTTCCTCAGACATTATACAAGACAAGCGAATACTCTTCCCCAAGCCCACTTTATGGTGGTGCTGTAAGTGTTGTTGTCAGCTTGATAAAGCATAGTTTATGTCCGTAAAATTGTATCCATCACGTTCCATGACAACATTAATCCTGTACTGTTGTTGTCTTGCAGGTCTCCACAGCCCTAGTTCTTCACCCATAGAACTATTCAATCTGAATAACTTTATAGCCCCTATACTTCATCCTCCAGTTTTTAGAACCATGATGTTCTGAAAATGCCACGCACTACCTAAAACTTGTGTACATAATACAAACAAGCTTGTTGTATTTTAAATGTGAAATATTATTGTTTTTATATTTCACTTAACAAAAGTCCTAAACTTAGACATAATCTACCGCACCAATTACCATTGGGTTGGCAGACTAAACTCATAACTGCAGACCATTTTAATTTTTATCATTATATGTTGTGGTTCGATTACAGCATCCCATGACACTTGGGTTGGGTTTAGTAGACACACATGCAGAAGATTTTTCATAATTATATTTGATTACAGCATCTCATGACACTTTTCCCTTTGGGTTGATAAACACTTCACAGGGTGAACAGAGATCGGTGAACAGAAACACCATTCAAACTAAGTAACGTGAATGGCTGGAATAGCATCCCAACTTGTATTGTATAATCACGTAATGTATTATCAGAGGTACTCACAGGTGTAATGGCTCCACACACTCCAACAGGCTCATGTACTGTGTAGCAGAGAAAACTTTCATCTATAAGACAATAATATGTTATAATAAAAATAGAAACACCGCAAAGGGTCAGTACAAAAAGATAAAAGCTTGTGAATGCTTGAAGGGAGATAAAACACTGCCATGTTTTGTTTACTGTGTACTGTGCATGCCACAAATCTGCAGTGTACTATTATACCACAAGAGGGAGTACTTATACCATTTACAAGTGTGAAGAGCAACAAACTCCAAATGTAACTTAACTGCTAAATATAACTTATAACAGTTGTGATGCCACCAGTTATTCCAGTACAGAAAAAAAAAGAAATACACACACACACACACATATATAGATAGATATATCTATATATATCTATCTACCGGTATATATGGATAGATAGATATATATATAGATAAATCTATCTATATATGTGTGTATATATATATTGTGCCTGTGTTGGCTCAATGTATAAGCGTACTAATTGTAAAACCATCACATGGGTTTATTACCAGTTCTCCATCTTATTGATAACAGTCAGGGTCATCCCTATAATGAGGCAGACTAAGGGGGTTACCTCAGGTGGCATTCCATTGGGTAATGTAGGACACACCTGCCGCCCCCTTTCCAGCCAGAGCGTACCAGAGCTCTTAGGAACCTGTGATGCTCTGGTTGGCGTCCCGCCCAGTTCCTGGCAACCAGTGACATCAGTGAGCTGGGGGAGATGGTGTGCACCACAATCTGAACCCCTCCTTTAGAATGTGCATTACGAGCACCCTCCACCCCCGCCACAGGCGGCAAGACATCTAGGGGCGCCCCTAATAATAGTTATATGAGAGTCAATCCATAGCAACCAATCAGTATTTATCTCAATTTAAAGCCATGTTTGCTAAGGTACACGTTTATTAAGGAGCGATCTGCCTTTCCAAAGGAGGGGAGAAATGACTGTTATACATGATGAACCATTTGCAGTTAAACTGCATGGATGGAGAAATCTTCCACTGCCAGCTTTTGTATTCAGCAGCGGATGCTCCATCCTCTGCTGAATACCTAGACTGTGCATGCATCTGATTTAATTCAGCCAAAAAATTCCAGACCAGCACTTTTGACAAAAGTTATTTGAAAAATCGACATTTCTCAAGCTGAGGAGTGCCAACATGGCCACCCATGGCTCAAATTTTAGCAGATTAATCAGGAACTAGATGAAATTTGCTCCGTGTATGGCCAGCTTTAAACTTTATTCTAATTAAAATTTATTTGAGGACTAGTTTAAATTGTTACATTATAAATAAATGACAAAAACAATTATAGCTGATTATAATGCATATCTTGATTTCAATTTGGTGCAAACAGCTTATAGTCTCATGATTATGCCTCAGCAGCAGTTTATTTAAAATCTTGCTTCATGTACACTACGATTTAGAATAATTTTATTTACAACCAAGATCACAAATTATTTAATTAAATTATTTCATTTTATTTATTAATTACAGGTCTTCTTATAGTGGCAACAATTTACGTAGCGCTTTACAAACTGCACATTCACATCTTCTCCTCCTAATAGCAATGGTGTGCCAGGCATATCTGCATTGGGGCTGCATTTTTTTTAATGCCTCCCCTATACTGTTATTTTGAGTAAAAATTCAGTGTGGTGAATGGTGGTCAAATTGTTGTTAGTAAAATTGGTATAAAAAAGATTGAATTTCGAGCAAGAAAGAATACTGTAACTTACCCACCGGGATTGTCTTCCCCTGTATTTTGTCAGCCCAGCCAGCAAAATAGCGCAAGGTTCGGATACAGCCTTCCAGGTCTACGAGGAACGCGTGCAGAAAAGGTTTTCCAGTGTCCATTGTCTCCAGAGTCTGAAAAAGAAAATGACTATTAGGGATACATATATGATCTGCTATGATATCTGGCTTTGTCTGTGAAGATTGACAGCTGTACAAATGTTTTCTACAATTTGATGATACTATTATTGCCATTAAAAATGGTAAATATGGGAAGTTCCTAAAACATAGAGAGGTGTCTCGCTGAATTAGTTGCCATCATTAACAATTAATTAGTAGGCAAATAAAAATACTGTACATTACATAACAGAACTTGAGAAAGCATGGGGCTTTGAATGCAGCACTGAAGATGATATTCCAGCATGTTATTTACAAGAGTATCCTAAAAATGTTAGACTAGATCAATTGTACAGCCTGGCAAGTCTTACCTAATACACCGAATCCAAAAGCAGAATAACAAAAATGCAGGTAATATCCGAATTGGGATTGGAATGGCAGTCCTGCAAGGCAGAAGTGCTAACCACTAAGCCACTGAGCTTTCGCAGTTTATTATGAATGTGTGAGTGCAGGGCAATGGAAGGAAGGTTTGGGAATCTGTATATATTGCAGGTATGTATAGCCACCTGTAATGTAAGTGGCGGCACTTCATATGTACAGCAGCTTTCGTCCTGTCCTGTCCCCCCACCCCTCCACCCCGTGACAAAGTCTCTTTAACAGAGGACCATCTGAACTGGACAAGTGATTTCCAATGGTAATGTTCTCTGTAGAAGTGATTTTGAGAATTTCTATTATGTCACATATTTCACATATACATCAGGGCAGACATTAGGCTCACTGATGACTTACCTATAGTAAATATAATATAATAGTAAATACAAACGAAAGGGTAATAACTTAAGGACAGACTTACAGCCAGGATTACTCTGTTTCTCTCCAGTAGGTCCCCCAGCTTGTTTAGCAATTTTCCCCTTCCACTGGCATCCAGTCTTCTCCATGCAGAACCTTTCTGGAAAGCGGACTTTGCAGCTTCCACCGCCTTGTCCACGTCTGCCTGTTGAGCACCACCAAATATAATTTAGTATTCATTAACTACATCAATTTACATAACAGGTCTCCCCAATACTAGCTTGCATCATTACTGCTTACCACCTACCCCGTGACCAGAGTGTTTACTCTCTTGGTCCCCTGCTGTGCTCAGTAGTTCCTACCTCAGACCACTACGTCACTACTGTGTCATGTATGCTGGTATTATCTTCTAGAAGAGATTCCACCTGATGACTTCTCTTCAATGGAGGGGCATTTAGCATCACAGGCATCAGGAAAGGTAAGTGTTTTTTTTTTTACAGGTAGAGGTTTTATTGCATTTATTACAAAAAGCACAAACTTTGATCTGCTACCCGTTTGCCAGGCCTCAGTTTAGGCACTGGTGACGTAGTCAATGCCTTTCCACAACCATGGACGTCTATGTCAGTAGAGACTGCAGGCAGATCCCGGTGAAGTAGTGGTTAAATCTCAATAGATTTGAATTGCACTAGCACAGAAATTCATTTGTATGTTTTTTTATGTATCCCTGTGCATATATGAGTTTTCCCAAGATTTCCTCATTACATTCCTAAGATCTGCCTGCAGCCTCTAGTGTCACACGGTAGAAGGTTGTAGGAAGGCACTGACTACATCACTATACCTTCCAACTTTCTGGGATGAGAAAGAGGGACACCTTCCAGCATAATGTATTTTGGTAATGGGCACACCCCCTGCCATGCCCCTAGTTATGCAAATCATTTAGGAATTTATATAGCAAAAAAAAATTGGTTAAACCCAGAATTTTTTTCACTATTATATTTTCTTTTATTGGCTATTCCAAAAAGCAAACAAGATAATTAAGATAAAAGATAACGGTATTAGTGGAATATAACAATTTTGTTAGTTAAATAAAACATTTTTATAGATGTTTAGACATCAAATCAAAAATAGGGGCAACTGAGGTGGAAAGAGGGACAGAGGGATTTGGTTCCAAAATTATGGAAGTCCCTCCAAATGAGGTATACGTCACAAATGGTTTGCTAAGCAGGGAGCTGACCAAAATTAACGCTTTTATGAATAAATGCTTCAATTTAATCGCTTTTTCATAGCTTTTCAGAAAGGGGAATTAGGGTGACAGACAAAAAAGATTTGTCCCAATCGGGGTGAAAGGTTCTCTTTAAGCACATTGACAACATGCTTTGTGATGTGCCCATCACTTACTTTAGTAAAGTGTTGCTGCTGATATAAAATATACAGATGATCACTATAATATTAATCAAAAAGATACATAAGTAATTTTAAGAATTATTTGATTTTGTATGAACCACAGTTTTATGTATTTAATAAAATAATTATGAATCAGTTACTTATATTAATTCATATAATTATTGGTTTTATGTAAACATTAATACCAAATTAAATCTAGACAAAAAGATCAATGATTATTCCGAGGACTGACAATAATCAGGCTGGGAGTTAATCAAAACTGTGTGCATCCTCTGCAGTTTATTAAAAAATGTCTCTACAATTCATTACACATTTGAAGGCAAATTGGTACATGGGAAGGAGAAACTAACCCACCAAATGTACCTGTTTAATCACAATTAATTCAGTTTACTTTTAACATTATGAACAAAGAGGATGTACAAATATGAACCCAGCCTGCGGAAACCTATTAAATTGTAAATGTTTTATTAAAATAATAGGATAGATTAAAGCTGAACTCCATACTGATATAAAAGGCACACATGAATGCAGTTGTATGATCATTATTACATAAGTAAATGTATTTTTTTAAATGCAAGCAGTGTAAGTACATAAATGTGACCTGCTATCGGCATATTGTTGTCCCTGGGCAGCAGAACTCAGAGAAGGGGAGACAGAAGCAGCGCACAAAGCCAATCAGGTATGCAGCAGTGCAAGAAGCATGCTGATAGGTGGAGAGAGCAGAAAGACAGACAAATTAGCTCACAGTTTATGCTTCTCATTTCACTGTCCAGACATAGGTTGGGGGTGGGAAGAGAATTGTGAGTGAAAGTGAAACTGCAGCAGAGAAAAAACGATAGTCATGTGCAATATTCAATTGACATATATCCAAATCATTTGGCAGAGAAAAGAGTTCCCATATATGTAATTCATACAGTATGGGGTCTATTCACGAAGCTGCCAAAGGATCTGGCCGTAGCTTCGGCCGATCCTTCGGCTAGCTTCGGCCCCAGGACCTAGTGCTTCTCTCCTGGGCGGCCGGAGCGCCCGGGAGAGTTTTGTTTTTTTTTTCCGTTTTTGTTTTTTTCCGTTTTTTTTTGTTACAGCAGCAGAGCCGCCGGACAATAGGAAACTATTGGGTGGAGCTAGCTGTCACTGCTAGCTCCGCACAATCGTTTGCTATTTACTTTTTTTAACTTTTC